CATGGTGATCTTCAACGGCGGCATTGAGATGTGCTTCGAGGCGCTGCACACGCTACATTCCATGCACCACGAGGCCACCGCCTGCCACGTGGCCGGGGATCTGTTCGACCTGCTGGGCGAGCTGCTGCTCCTGCTGGCCACGCTGCGCACGCGCACCGACAGTCCGGCGCAGAAGAAGCAGCAGCAGCAACAGCAGCAGCTGGAGCAGCAGCTGCAGCTGCAGCAGCAACAGATGCTGCAGAAGCAGCAGCAGCAACAGCAGTCGCAGCAGAGCCAGACGCCGCAGGCGCCGCAGACGCCGCAGCAGAAGGAGAAGCAGCTGCAGCAGCAGATGCAGCAGCACTTGCAGCTGCAGCAGCTGCAGCAGATGCAGTTCCAGCAGCAGCACTTCCTGCGCCAGCAGCACCAGCACTCGGCGCTGGCCAAGGCGCTGCCGGACGCAGTGAAGCGACTGGCCACGCTGCTCAACACCTTCAACTCGCCGGAGATCAGCCGCATGGCCCTGGAGGTGCTGAAGGAGCTGGTGCGGAACACCAGCCTGGAGACGATCAGCATCCTGGCGCCCATCTTGATCAACTGCCACCTGTCGGTGGCCAATGCTCCCAATGCGATAGGTCCGTTGGGACCGTACTTCCCGCGCCGCGGTGCCAAGCACACACCTTGGCCCCTGGGCGCCAAGAACTCGCCCCGTCCGCCGCGTCCCATGGTCCAGATGTGCATCGCCCTGGCGGAGCTGACGCCACGCGGCCTCGACGCCGACTACGACGTCCAGGTGGAGTCCTTCTACCGACCCTATCACGACTTCGTCGACGTCATGATGCGCATGTGCGTCAACACGGGCACGCTGAACGACACGCTGGTCAAGCTGCAGTGCCTGGTGGCCATCGAGTCGACGCCGCTGCACTTCACCTACTTTCCCAAGTTCTGGGTGGGCATACACAACAACGCACTGACGCACAAGTAAGTTGGAACCACTGCAGGCGTTTTTGCGCAACAATAAGTGCAATTACTAGAAGCAGATTTTATTGAATTTACAAAATAGCATTAACTTTATAAAAAATATTTTTTATTTTTATATAAAATAAAACAAAAAAACAATTCTGCTTTATAACCTCCTACCAATTTAAATTCATTTTGTAACTTAAACTATTTGGAACATCAGACTTTAATAATTTGGTAAAGCAATAAATATTTGTATTTTAAAAACCGCTTGATCAAACTTTAAATAAATATGTAAAGTGAGCTTATTTAATCTCGCTGTTTTTAATAAAAGTGTAAAGATTAAATATATCTCCGTAATAAAACCCATTTTAATTCCCTTTTTCTCTCTTTAGATACGTTGAGTTGCTGGTGAAAAATCAACTGCTCGTGGAGTACTTGCACAATGTTCTGAAGGACGAACGCAGCATGCTGAAGGATGCCTGCGTGCGCGAGTTTCTGGAGCTCTACTACCACAAAGTGGCCGCCCAGCTGCCGGTGGCCCGCATGATCTACACCATCAACTACGGCATGCACTCCAAGGACGACATCGACGAGCTGTGCGGCGACCTCTTCGCCATCCGGATCATTGCCCAGGCCACTGGGGTGCCGGCCTCCGTGCGCAAGGAGCTGCGAGGATCTCTGCGGGCACTCCAGAACAAGAGCGAGAGGTTCAGGAAGGAGTCGGAGAGGGGTGAGCATTTTACTCCGCTTTTCTCAGGGGTTCGAATTTTGAAAGGCAAAAATATGAAGAACTTCATTTATGTAAAATAAAAGTCACGCAAAACCACAGTTTTTAAAACATCATATACTCTCTCAATGTTCAATATGTTGTGTTCGAAAAATGTTCGTACTATATTATTTTCTTCTTCGTACAGCATTATTACATTAATTATTATTATTAAGAGCTCAGTTAAGATTATTAATATATATTTGCGGACGTAGAATAACGTTTTATAAAAACAAATTCTTTTTAAAATAAAAAAATTCTGAATTTATGATATGGAATGAATTCTTTTAGATATAAAATGAATTCTTTATGATATGATATTAATTCTTTATGATATGACAAGCTCTTCATTATGATATTTCTTCAGTGGTCATCTAATTTTCAACAGTCCCATATTCTATTGTTCTTCTATGTTAAGATCGAGGTCTATGACCGTGTTAGCTTAATTTTTTCTTTACTATCTTAAACCATCTCATCTAAAATGTTCTTTCGCAGATCCCTTTCCGAACAAAAAGCTGAAGCGTGACTCCCAGAAGGACAAGGAGAAGGTTGAGGTGCAGTCGGAGGGCGAGAACGCCACCTCGGCTGATGCCGACAAACCAGCAGACGTTTCCATGGAGTCCAGCGGCAACTCGGACCCGGTGACGACGGACAGCAGCACCAAGCCACCCACGCCCGCAGGCAGCGACGACGAGCAGATGGAGAAGACGTCCATACCCTCGTCCGACGACGAGACCGAGCTGGAGGATGAGCTGGAGCCCACGCCCAAGCGCAACAAGAAGACGTCGAACAAGAAGACCGCCCAGGATCGGCTCAACGAAGAGCGTGAGAAGCGGCTGATCACACTGATCACCATGGAGTCGTACATTCAGAGCATCTTCGCCATCCTCAAGCGGGACTCGAGTGTGCCCAGTGGTGCGGCGGCTAGCAAGGAGCCCAGTGAGGAGCCGTCGTGCGGAGAGGCCTCCACATCTGCAGCTGCAGCCGCAGGGAAGACGTCCCGACCCAAGGGGGCCTGTACTCCGCCGGAGCCAATGCCCGAGGCGAGCGAGACGCGGTGCAGCAGCATGGAGACGGAGGAGCAGTCGCCCAAGGCCACTCAGACCAACGGCAGCCAGCCACCGGTCGAATCTCCGTCTGCGGCCGCCAGTGGAGGCGATACTGCACCCGCGAATCAGCCCACGCCCGCCCCCTCCTCGGCCGTTGCGTCCACATCCCAGGCAGCGAGTCCTACACAGATTTAGTTGTCATTCAACGATTTGCTCAGCATTTTGTTTTTCGGCAAGCCACTGGACTGATAATGGGCAACGGGGGCTGACCTCGGCCGAGCTCCTCCTAGCCTGTAAGAATTTTGTGGCCAAAGGTCAATGTTAGGTGCACATGTAGGCAAAGGCAACCCAAGGTTGGTGCTAGCTAGAAACGCCCACGAATCGGACAGACTAATGGCAGCGGAGCTATATCCCTGCTAGGGAAAAAGGAAAGAAAGTGCTACAACTTCTATTCCCTGCGAGTGGAAACGGGTTTGGGCTTAAAGGATACTTAGTTAAGCTTAACAACAAATAGTAATGTAACACACACATTCAAGCCCCGCACGCACGCAAACACCCCGTAAACCTATCCGACCGGCCCCCACATATATTCAATATATAGCGATAACTGTAACTAAGTTAAGACCACCCTGCACGCAATGTCCCCCGTAAGAGATCCCCTTTCAAATGGTTAGTTAAGAGAAAAGTTTAAACAATCCACTGGAGAAATTTGTTATGCCAAAAAATGGAAGTTGAAATGGAGGCAGCGGCGCATTAGGACTACAAATTGAGTGTTTGAACGCAGAGCGGTTGAGGAAGATCAATAAAACGGCTTACGAGACGCTATATCTATATATGTTGTATTAGATCCATTAAGTATCATTTATAAAACGATGCTAAGAACATACATATTCGCCTACCTACCCACATAGCCTCTTTTCTCGTCTTTCCTCTACTTTCCCCGCCTTTCACCACCCCCCAATGCACCCGTAAGCGATACGTTAGAAATGAACAGATATTATAATAATAGAACTTAACGAAACATTTTAAATATTGGATGTGTTAAAATATGTCATAATCATTTTCAATGTAAATCGCATAACGCAAACGCAAACCAATCGAACAGTTTTTAGTTCACGTCCGATAGGGATAAAATGTAATGTTAGCACGTAAGGAATGTAGAGCGTTGTTGTCCCAAGTGAAACACAACAGGACAAAAATGATAAAATTAAACAAAGTAAAGTAAACTGGCCAGCGCCGAAAAGGGTCGCGTATATTGATAGTTTTAAGCTCACACAAACATAAGCGATCGAAATCCACACAATGTAATGTTGAGAAACAAAAAAAAAAAAAAACAAAACACCCAAACAAATCATGAGAATAATAAGTTTAAATGATATGTAACTGAAGCGACTGGAATTGTTTTTTTACAGGGTTTTTTTATTCCATTTAAACCTGGTCATTTTTGTTTCCATCCAAAAGGCAGTTAAAAATCGATTTTCTGAGTGATCGGGAAAAAATAGTGTTCCCGTTTTGTCAAGCAAATTGTACGATTTCTGATTTCAAGCACCAGGCGAACAGGAAACCCTAGCAAGTGTGCTTGGCTGAGATCCAACGGTTGTTTTCCAGGAAGCAAGTGTGCTTGGCCGAGATCCAACGGTTGTTTTCCAGGAAGCTGGCTTCCACTGGTGAGGGGAAATATGCTTTTGGCGGCCATTTTGAAAAAAACAACCGTTATTCGCTCTGCCAAAAATTACCAACTGAAACTTGCTACGGATTATGTTCGCCTGGTATCTGAAATCCAGAAATCTATTTCAACTTGAGAGCATGGCACTCCGGAAATGCGAACTTTGTTTTGGCCAAAACGCAAGGATAACGTGGCCCAAGCATGGAATGTCATACCTCGTTGAACTCGTAGAAAGATGCCCGATCGATTGGCATTCAAACCTTGGCTAAAAATCGCAAAATTAAGGGAAGCTTACCACCATCAGTTAAAAACTAATTTTCGGAGTACAAATTAATTGAACAAGATCGGTAGTTTAGGTCGTTAGCAGTGCTGAGAACCTAATAAGAAAGATTGTTTTTTTTTTAAATTTTATTTATTTGTATAGAAGTAGGCTCAAGTTGTAAGCCACATATGTATATCGAGTCCGCAGAGTAGACCCGATATGTAATTTAAACGACTGATATGGTATTCAATGGATTTTTATTCAATTTTAACCTGTTGCTTTGGAGGTAGAGGGTTTCCATTAAAGTAAACTCCGTAACACGCATGCGCTTACTTAAATGCCAAGTTCCGGAAAATAGCCACCCCAAACTTAAGTCAGAAAATTCATTGTTTCATTCGATTTTAAATTGGGAGAACAAGCAATTTTGAAAGAAAAAATTCCCTTAAAATGCCGTGTGTTGGTTGTGGTAAAGGTGAGTTTGTATAGTCATGAAGTTGCATAAACGATTCATACGCCTTTTCATGAAAAAAGTAAAGTTATAATTATAAAAATAACCACTGCTTCGCAGAATGCAAATGCACTCCGGAAAAGTGCAGCGATAGCTGCAAGTGCCAGAGTCCCGGAAAATGTGGTTGCAATCCCTCGAATGCCGCCTCCTCCTCCTCCGGCGGATGTTGCAAGAAGGCAGGCGACACCGCGGGAGGCGACGCCAAGGGAAAGTGCTGCGGCGACACCAAGAAATAGAAGCCGACAATTGCAATACCCATTCGAGGCCAGAGAGAAATGCTTTTCGTTCCTTTTATTTTTCGATGGCCATAACTGCTAAGTGAGCTGTTATCATTAAATACATTTATTGTTTAATCGAAACAAAACCAAGACTTCTATACTTTACTGCACAAGATAAACTAATGACCTATACCAGCATTGCTTTGCCGTTGTGTTCAACTTTCATGGGTGGCAATGATTTTTGTTTTTGTTTTCTTTATTTTTTCTTTTTTTTGTAATTTAATTTTAATAACAAAAGGTGGCAAAATGAGGCGCTTAGCAAACCAGCCAACAACAATGTGCACTCTGTTTATACATAGATTGCTTATGGAATTCTATACCAAAGATGAGATAAGATGGAACAGGGTTAAGGGTGTGTATACGCCTCAGATGGAAAATTAAACAAATTAAATTCGTTAGCGATTTCTTTATATTACAGCGTTAAATTTCATATATCCGTTCCGTTCCGTTTCAGACGCATATCGTTTGTAAAAAAACAATTTAAAATTTCACTTCTAACAGACACGAGCCACTTACTAAAGATGCACTTACTCTTAAGTTTACATAATATATAGACCATCTACACTTCAATTAATGCAATATATAAAAACAACTTCCTTGTAGGGCAATTAATAGCTAGACGATTTGTGTTTCTCTCGTGCTCCTCCTAACACACACAATAGAAAGTTTAAGTTTTATACAAATTAGAGGGGGTCGCTCCTTTCAAAATGGGATTCTGGAGAGGCTCGTCGAACCATTCTTCTGCTGGTCCATGGTCCATGGTTCATGGTTCATGGTTCATTGTCCATCATGCATGGACACCTAATTGCGCTTCACTTTGCGCTTTTTGCGACTATTTTGGTTTGGCGCCTGGGAAGAGGATGGGGCTGCCGCTGGACTAACAATGGTGCTGGCTGCTTTGGCCTTTTCTTCGTTGCTGCCGCCGAACTTGCGCCAGATGTTGTGGATGAAACCGTCCGCCTCGTTTATGTTGTTGCTCTTGTTTGATTTGTATGCCACATTGTTGTTGTTCTTGTTGTTGTTATTATTATTGTTGTTGTTGTTGGTGGTGGTGGTGGTGGTTGCCGGCGGCAACGGCGGATGCGGGCTCGTCGGCACCTGCTGCTGCTTCCTGGACTGCGCTCCTTGGGCGTATTCTCATGAGCGCTTCACCTTGCCATTGGACGCATTCACCGAGTTCTGGGAGCGATAGGCAGCCGCCCCTCCTCCGCCCACGGCCATTTCGGTCGCATGGGTGGCCACGTGCTGGATGCCCTTCTCCATGCAGCCGTGGTAGATGGGTCGCATGAACTGCAAGTGAAACATGGATTTCATTTTGTGTACTGAAGAGCTGGATATCTAGTTACTCACCCGCTCCCACATGAGCGTGGCAAACTCATCCAACTTGCCACCGAAATCGCTCAGCTCGCCGCTATATCTGAAATGGAAATGAGATCGATAGTGAGTACACATTAAGTAATTAATGGTATTGTGTTAGGAACTAAAAACTGTGTAGAAGAACTATATTTATCACTTTATTTCCTAGAAGCTAAAGCAATATTTGAGAAATCAACTTATGTATAAACCCACCAGAAATGTCATCTCCCTGGTATAATAGAATAAATCAGATTAAAAGAAATAAATTTATAAAGAAATAATCCATGTCAATAGGTAATGACCTGCCCTCACCCTCCATAGAATGGTATCCTTTAAATCCGCGAAGCCTATCCACTGTACTATACTATACAATCCCAATTATCTCAATCCTAGTTTAGTGATATGTACATATTCAACAAAATATAATAAATGTAAAAAATTTAAGCTGGACAACAAATTATTTTCTGGTGTTAATCAAAAAAGTTCTTAGACATTACTAATCATGCAAAAAAATATTGTGACTTTATAAATCCCACCGAAATTAACATACAATAATAATCTCATTTCTAAATGTGTCAAATGTTAGATTAAAAAAAAATATTACAAAAAAAATAAATAAATAAAAGCTGATTAATAAAAACTAAGCAAGGAAATGACAAGTTAACCTATATTATTGTTACCCAACCAATAACATAAATAAAATTATTACTTTCCTTACAAAAACAAATTTCATATATAAAATTTAAATTGTTAAATTGGAGGCCCCAGTCGCTAATGCTCTTAATTTTAGTTAGCTTTTAGTTTTAAATAAATAAACCCATAGAATTGTAATATCCCAGGGGAAGCTCATTTAACCTTTAAGGTCTACACAATAACCCACCTGATGTAGGCCCAGAGAGCCAGGGTGAGCAGCGCCACTCCCATGACCAAGTTGCAGAAGTTGGCGAACGTGTAGAGCCCGACCAGGCCGAAGATGCCGCTGAGGATGTACATGATGACGGCGCAGGCGAAGTACACGGCTGGGGTGCGGGCCGCCTTGAAGATGTTCTTGCTCTCGTTGTGCGCTCGATAGTTGACGAAGACCTCCTCGAGATCGGCGTCCAGCTGGAGGCGGAACTTTTCGGTGAACTCCTCGCCGCCCATTTTGCGCTTGGCGGCGAACTGGAACATCGCCTTGTCCTTGACCCGCAGGTGCTCCGTCTCCAGGTGGGCGGTGCTTAAGTACGGCCGCGTGCCGCCGCACACCTCCTCCATGAGCTGGCCGTACAGCTCCTTGGCGGCGGCCACGGCGGTCAGGTGGTTGGCCTCCGCGGTGGCCACCAGCATGCTCTTCGGCTCGGGCAGCTCGTTGCCCTTGTAGATGTTCATGTACGACTGGAAGTACTGGATGAGATCGCGGGCCCGCACCCGCTGGCCGCTGATCTCCTTGTAGACCAGGTTGTCGGGCGCCAGCAGCATGGGCACCAGGGTGCGCAAGCTGTTCTTGAACTCGGCCGTGATGTCCTTCAGCCGGCCGTCGAACTTCGGGTTGGTGGCCACGTTCAGGCCCGGATGGGGCATCAGAAAGCAGGCCACCTCCGTGAAGCAGGACGAGATGTGGCGGCGCAGCGACTGCAGTTCCGGGTGCTGTTTGTCGGACACCTCCAGTCGTCGCTTCAGAATCTTGTCGCCCCCCAGCGCCCCGTACTCCGCCTCGTACGGAAAGCTCCAGTCGCGGACGAGGAACTGCAGCCGCTGGAAGGGCTTCTTGCCCGTATCGGCCAGCGCCAGGCGGCCGTACTCCGTGAAGAGCTGCAGGTGCTGCAGGTCGTCCTCCTGGATGTTCTGTGACAGGTTGTAGATCTGCACCGAGGACAGCATCGTGCTCAGGGCGAAGACGGTGGCGCAGTCGCGCACCGTGCTCTGGCTGTCGAAGGCGCCCTGAGTGTCCAGCAGGATGATGGCTATCTTGTCGCCGTTGGGGTAGTCGTGCAGGAATATGTCGGACCACATGAGGATGCCGGTGGTGTCGCGCTCGGAGCCGCCGCGCCAGGAGAAGCCCTCCAGAGGGTCCGACTCGTCGCCCAGCCAGTCCGTCGCATCGTGGTGCACATACTGTTGGTGAGAAATGGATATTCATCCCAAAGACAAATGGTGGTGGCAGCTGAAAGACGGGACGCACCTTTGAGTACATGTAGCGCAGAAAGAAGTCCAGCAGGAAGCTCTTGCCCTTGCGGAAGGCGCCCGCCACCGAGACCACGCAGACGAACCGATCCTTGACCTCATCCCGCATCAGGACCTCGCTCAGCGCCTCCTCGTTGAGCACGAAGGTGTGCTCCTCGGAGGCGTTGATCACCTGCACTGCCGAGCCGCCCATTCTGTATCCTGTCCTGTATGCTGTCCGGCGGTCTCTTCTCTGTGTTTCCGGCTCCGAGTGTGTGCGGCTCCGTTGGAGGAATTTTATTCCGGTTTGTTAATCTTCTCGTTGTCCGCTTGTCAACTGCAAATAGAAAACGGGTAGCTGGGGTTAGTAAGTGTAAGGGCCAAATGTTTACAATGCTTTCTCGGCGAAGATTTCCATTTCCGGACTGGCAGGAAAACCGCGAGTCTGGGCCAACGGCTGGCGAGTTCGTTTCATTTTTATTTCGTGTTGGCACAGCCACGCGAATCACGAAACACGACTGACAGAAAGGCCTGCAATTATGAGAGGCGGCCAAAAATAAACCCAACCAAGCGCTGCTCCGCGGTTTCTGATTGCTGATTTCAGACTATGTCTGCGGCAGCCGCAACATGTAAGCGGATTGTTCAGGTGCGTGGGATATATGTACATATGTATGTGTCTAGCCCCAAGTACTTTGTACTGTGTAGGCAATATTGTTAGTGATCAATTTTTGAGTGAAGGAATTTTAATGAAAGACTAGGGAAAGAATTAAAGTCAAGAAAGGTGTTACTCATTGCTATCATTATTAAATTGAATTTTAATATTGTGTATATTTAAACTAATAATTGCAATAAAAGGAGAAGAAAGTGTTTTTGAACAATAAAAATAGGCACTATAAATACCCAGACCTCGAGCCAGCCAAAGCACACCATAATAAAATATTTAATTATAACCATAAATTTAAAGTACATTTATGTTTTGTATTTTAACTGGCGAACGTTTTTAGAAATTGGCATTTTTAATTTATGTCTAATAATAATAATAATAATATGTATATAATTTGTATATGAAATGAAAATTAAAGTGTCGAAACAGCAATAATTGATTGGGCACGTAAGCAAACAACTGTTTATGGAATTGCTATTAAGCAAAACAGATTCAACTGGAAATTATATCTCTTTTCCAAGACCCTAATTGATAAACTTAAAAGTTATGAATTAAAAACCACTTTGGAAAGCAAAGGCATTAAAAATAACTGGTTTCTTCAGCTGATGATTTAACTGATCCTAACTTTCCTGATCTTTAGTTATTACCCGGGTCACTTTTTCAGAGGAACATAAAGTATCTTTTGAGCTTCTAAAGTTGAGTGGTGTAAAAATAGATACAAAACCGGTCTCCTAATCAAAAACCGACCTTAACTTTCTTTAAGTTTGCTTTTAGAACCAGGTCACCGTTTTCCACACACTTTTAAGGGCTTTTAGCAGCAGAAAAATAGATATAGATTTCAAAAGGTATCCGAATCGATTTAGGTGTTCAGCACAATTGAATGTAAGCGTAGGGAACACATTAAAATTAATTACGTTAG